AAGAAACAGAGTTTCTTCTGTCTTCCATGAGGATACCACAAAAAGTCATAATCTTCCAGGCAGAAGAGGGCCCCCACTAGAACCCTCCTATACTGGCCCCCTAATCTCAAACTTTCCAACCTCCATAACTCTGGGAAACAAATGTGTTGTTTAAGCCACCAAGTATGGTATTTTGTTATAGCAGCCAGAACTGACTATGACAGAAATGTACACTTCTCAATGCATTCTGTGAGGTCAGTGTCACCCTGATACCAAAGCCAGACAAAGACCTCCAAAGAAAAATTTTTCATGAATAAAAATGCAATAATCCATAACTAAATACTAATAAGTCAAGTCCAGGGACACATAAAAAGGAATCACTGTGAAAGATTAGCCTCCGGGTCACAACTTTTTACTAGGGCTATTCTATTCCTTACCCCAGGATGAATCTTCATCGCCAGCTGAGTGATGAGTAATCTAATCCCAAAACCTCATCTTCCAGCTTTATTGGACAGCATTATGTACTAGCTCTGTCCGTTGGGTCTTCTGGAGATGATGCTGAGATGGAGTTAGGAGTGCAAGAGGTTTAATATATAGAAAAGATTAAAGGGAAGGGAAAAGGATTGAGTAAAGAAAAACTGCCACACCATAATGCAGATTTAATAGTGGTGAAATAAAAGAGCTGATGAGTGAAAGCAGGATTAGTTATAGAGAGTGCCAGATCTCTATGCATGTATCTCTTATAAAGTCAGCAAACTCAGTGGGTGCTTCAGGTCAAAAACTGTCTTTTAGAGGAGTTCCACATTAGGCAGAAATTCCAGACTGAGGGCTGCTCAAGAAGAATGTCGTGTAAAACTTGAGGCAGATCCTGAAGGCACTAACAGCTTGAGGCTGTCAGCCTAATTGCACTCTTGGCAGCTGAATTCTCGGTCAGTGCTCCTTCTCTCTCTCTCTCTCTCTCTCTCTCTCTCTCTCTCTCTCTCTCCCTCTCTCCCCCTCTCCAGGATATTGCTCTGTAACCTAGGCTGGAGTGCAATGGAGAAATCATAGCTCACTGCAGCCTCAAACTCTTGGGTTCAAATTATCTTCCCTCCTCAGACTCCAGACTCTAGGACTACAGGCTTGCACCACAATGATGGGCTAAAAAAAAAAAGAAAAAATGTAGAGATGAGGATTTGCTGTGTTGCAAGAGTAGTCTCAAACTTCTGGCCTCAAGCAATCCTTCTGCCTCAGCACTCCCAGAGTGCTGGGATTACAGATTTGAGCCGCCATACCCAGCCTGCAAGTTTTTTCTTGAAGGAAAATCCAAGCAGTACACTTACATGGATGCCATGCTGTAGGGCAATATCGAATAGTACAATATTTATGTAATTGGAGTTCCAGAAAAGGAGAAGAAGTGGAGGGGAAAACAATGGTTGAAGAAATAATAACTGAATTTATTGTTTTCTAAATTTGATGGAAAGTATAAACCCAAAGGTTTGGGAAGCTACATGAAATCCAAGCAGGAAAAACACAAAGAAAACTATCCCCAAGACACATCCTAATCACATTTCTGAAAACAAGTAATAAAGAGAAAAATTAAAACAGAATCCTGAGGAAAAAAATATACATTATGTATTGACAATCAAAGGTAAGAATTACTGCAGACTTATCATCAGAAACCATGCAAGCCCAGAAGACAGTGGATGTACCTTTAAAGTACTGTTGGGTAAAATAAGTCATCCTAGAATTCTATATCTAGCAAAGTTATCTTTCAATAATAAAGATAAACTAAAGAAAGCTTAACATAGGGTAAATCTGAGCAAATTAATCACCACACAATTGCACTACCTTAAGTATTAAGATACATTTTTCAGGTGGAAGACAAATGATACCAGATGGATATTTGATCTACACAAAGAAATTAAGAGAACTGGACTTTTTCTTAATTGATTAATTTCCTTTATTGAAAGTTAATCATTTAAAGCAAAATAATAATAACATGTTACTGGGTTTATAGCATATAGAAGTATAATGTATTATAACAGTACCACAAAGGTAGGGAAAAGGAAATTAAACTATACTGTTGTATTTGAAGATAGACTGTGATAAGTCAAAGATCTGTTTTATACAGTCCAAAACATCCATTTTTAAAAAAAATAGTATAACTACTAAGACAATGTTGAAGATAAAACAGATCTCAAAACCTTAACTCAACAGAAAGCACAAAAAAGGAAAATAAAAACTGGTAAGAAAATGTAGAAAACAGAGATGGCAGATTTAAACCGAATTATATCTATAATTAGGCTAAATGAAAATGGTATAAGCACTTTCATTAAAAAGTAGAAATTTGTCAGGATAAACAAAGGGGGCTTCTGAAAAAAAATACTGAAATAAAGAAATATATCTCAATGATGAAGACATTAATTCATCAAGAAGATATAACAATCCTAAAAGTCTATGCACATAATACCAAGGCTTCCAAATACATGAAGTAAAAGTGCAGAACTACAGAGAGAAATAGATAAACCTAAAATTACGGTTAAGCATTTCAATACCCTTCTCAGTAATCGATAGGGCAACTAGGCAAAAATAAATCAGTAACAACAAAGAAGACTTGAGCAACATTATCAGTCAACTTGAACTGAGTGACTTTCAGAGAACACTTCACTCAAGAATAACAGAGTGTGAGGGAGAAACATTAAGATGGTCAATGAGGGGAAGCTAGACTGTGTTACTCCTACAGTGTAAACCAAAATAGAGAATTTCCACAGCATCCACAGAGGCATGGGACCAGCAGCATACCCAAGATTCATCAAAGAAACAATCATAACCACATAGTGCAAGGAAAAGAAAAATCAATCAACCTGGGTTGGAACTAACCAGGCTCTCACCTAGATCACAACACAGAGCATGAGGGCCTCTCGATGGAGTGGAGAAAGTGAGTGAGGGGAATTCAGGAATTTTTTGCTCCTGCTATGGACTTGGAGGGCCCTTGAGCCTTGTGAGACTCTAGTCCCTCATGGAAAACTGTCTTACCCACAGCCATGCTCTGTCAAAACCCACATGGAGTGGAGTGGTGCAAGGGGGAAAAAAAACCCAACAACTTTGAGAAGCTCCAGTTGCCATATCCCAGAAATTCAACCCTTGCTGGTGACTACTTTCTAGCCTGCCTGAATGGCAATGGGCCCCAAGGATAAACTCCACAGTGGCAGATAGTTCCTGGCTGGAGAGCGCTGCTGTGAGGCTTTGAGGCAGGCTGCACCTGGAAATTCAGAAGGCAGACCGCCTGAAGCTAAGGAAGGGGAGCTGGGAGAACAACCTTTCACTCCCAAGGTAAACTCTTTTGTTCAGCCTCTGCATCACAGCATTACCTCGGTGGCCGAGGACTCCCTCTCAAGGACCACTAGGCTAGCCAAGAGTGCACAGAGGTGGGGAGACTGAGCTTCTTTCCCCTACACTCCCCTCAAAGACTCAAAACACAGAATTTGGGTGATCCCCACAACCTGCCTACCACCTAGGATGACTGGACACTTCCTTAGAACAGTGAAGTGAACACCAACCAGAAAGTCCACAGCCACCATCCCAGCTGGTTCTCCCACAAGCACAGCTTCCTCACCGAAGGTCAACAGCACGGTCCATCACATCCGGTATAATACCTCAGCTTTAGGGAAGGTCTGATCTAAGACCCCAGTTGACACCACTATCCGAGACACCCTGGCCACTCGGGATACCTTGCGCCTGTGCAGGTATGCAGCACAGAACCACCACATCTAGCCATCGAGCAACAAACCTCACCAAGGCTATATATAACTGAAGGAACCCTACAGTACCTGTGTCAGTCCCCTGCCAACCACAAATAAGCAATAGTCTACCCAAATGAGAAAAATAATTCTGATAATATGAAAAAACAGAGTTCTTCAACACCTGGAAAAGACCACACTAACTATGCAGGAATGAACCCTAACCAAAACGAACTCTTTGAAATTTTAGAGATAGACTTCAAAATGTTGGTTATAAAATTGCTCAATAAGAGTCAGGAAAAAGTTGATAGCCAACATAAAAAAAATTTACTTATTTTTATTTTACTTATTTTTTTTTTTTTGTATTCTAATCATGTACTGAAAGCAGTAAGAGGTTCCACGACACCAAATAGACCAGTTCTGGGGATTTCCCCCAAGATAAATTTAAATTTAACAGCTCCAGCTTCTTCAGTGTTTCTCAAAATACAAAAGAGAAAAGTAGAGGTCATCTTTTCCATGGCAAATCGGCCCCTTGCAGGCTGAGGGGGAGAAGCCACTTCACACATGGAGATGGTTGCCTGGACTGGGGGTCTAGAGGGCTGCCCGCCAGTGTGCATGGTCCTGCTGGTGAGGCTGCAGCCGTCCCGCTAGCATGTCTGAGTGAGCGTGAGCACTGGGAACCACAGGGGCCTGTTCTGGCCACGCACTGACCAGGGGACGGGTAGGGCCCGTGTCCCCAAGCTGGCTGTGGGTGGGCAGCCAGGGCTGGAGTGGGGTGGCCATGGGCTTCTGGCCCTAGGGACCGCGAGTCACTGGGATCTCTGCTGACCATGCACAACTGAGCACGGTCTTGCACTCCACTGCCTTCCACTCCCAAGGGAACAGCCGAGGTGACTGGTATCCAGGCCATCACTGCAAGCCTACTGGGTGGAGGCTCCCTCCTGTGTTCAAGTGTTTTTGATTTGGATGCTTAACTTTTGTAAAAAACGCACTGAGTTTAGATTAAAAACCAACCACCAGGATGGATTTCAATACCGCGATCCAGCCAGGTGCCTGGTCCACCACCATGATGCCCGGAGGTGGGTGCCTGTGGCCCACCTCCCCCTCAGCACTGACAGTGAATCGATTATTCTTTCCACAATAAAAAAAAAAAAGCTGAGTAATAATATTGCATAGGGGTACCAGAAACTGCCTCATGGAACAGAAATTATTTACATGAAGTAAAAAGCAGGCCAGGTTGCATCTGCACATTTACAGCGCAATGCACATGGCACCAGCCACGGAGGCAGCTTGCAGCACTCACACCACCATGGCATTGGGGAGGTCCTGGGGAAAGGGGGATCCGTGAGAAGGGCCGTCCCAAGACAGAGTCGGTCCTATCCCCAGGGACCCACTAACACTCATCCCCACCAGGCACCTACCTGCTTGTTGGTCAAGACCAGGAGGATGGCGTCCCCCAGCTCATCCTCAGCCAGCATGCGCATGAGCTCCTCGCGGGCCTCGTTCACATGTTGTCCATCATTGCTGTCCACCACAAAGATCAGAGCTTGTGTGTTCTGGAAGTAGTGATGCCACAGAGGCCGGATCTTGTCCTGGCCAGCCACGTCCCACACAGAGAAGCTGATGTCCTTGTACTCCACGGTCTCTACATTGAAGCCTGTGGTGGGGGTGGTGGTCACGATCTCACCCAGCTTCAGCTTGTAGAGGATCGTTGTCTTCTCTGTGGCATGCAGGCCCACCATGAGGATGCGCATTTCTTTTTTTGCCAAAAAGGCCCTTGAAGAGGTTGGCGAAGATGTTCCCCATGTTTGTGGACAGGCGGCAGGACACTGGTTAGGGACACCTCGGTGGCAGCTGCTCCAAGCCATGCATTGGTTTTGCTCCCACTATTTTACTTATTTTTATTTTGTAAAGATGAGGTCTTGCTATGTTGTCCAGGTTGGTCTCAATCTCCTAGGCTCAAGTGATCCTATTGTCTCAGCCTCCAGAGTAACTGGGACTACAGGCATGTGTCACCATGCCCAGCAAATTTTTTAAAATTTTTTGTAAAGATTAGATCTTGCTATGTTGCCCAGGCTGGTCTTGAACTTATGGGCTCAAGCAATCCTCCCCCCCTCCAGCCTCCCAAAGAACTGAGAGTACAGGCATGAGCCAGCATGCCTGGCCCAACATGAAGAAATTTTAGAACCTATTCAGAATATGAATGAAAAATTCTACAAAGCGATAGACACATTAAAGAAAAACTAAGCTGAAATTCTGGAAATGAAAGAATCATTTAGGGAAGTACAAAATGCAGGGGAAAGTTTTAACAGTAAATTAGAACAAGTAGTACAAAGAAGAAATGTTCTCAGAACTTGAAGATAAGACTTTTGAATTAACCTAATCAGACAACAATAAAGAAAAAAGAATCAAGAGAATGGAACAAAGTCTCCAAGAAATGTGGGATTATGTAAAACAACCAAACCTAAGAATTTTAGAAGTTGTTGAAGAAAAAGAGAAAATAACAAGTTTGGAAAACTTATTTGAGTAACTAATGGAGGAAAACTTTCCTGGCCTTGCCAGAGATTTAAAAATCCAAATACAAGAATCTCAAAACCCCCCCAGAAGATTATTTGCAAAAAGATCATCTGCAAGACATATAATCATCAGGTTAATGTGAAGAGATGATTTTTTTTTTTAGTCAGAGTCTCACTCTATCACCCAGGCTAGAGTGCAGTGGCATGCTCATGGCCACCCCAGTGTTGACCCACTGAGCTCAGGTGATCCTTCCGCCTCAGCTTTCCAAGTAGTCAGAACTGTAGGCACACACTACTATACCTGGCTAATTTTTTTTTTATATACTGTAGAGACGAGGTCTCACCAAATTTCCCAGGCTGGTCTTAAACCTGTGGGCTCAAGAAAGCCTCTTGCCTCAACCTCCCAAAGTGCTGGGATTACAGGCTTGAGCCACTGTGCCTGGCTATGAAAGAATGAATTTTAAGAGCAGTGGACAAAAGTAAACCTATCAGACTAACAGCAGACTTCTCAGAAGAAACCCTATAAACCAGCAGAGATTGGAGTCTCATCTTCAATCACTTCAAACAGAATAAGTCAATCAAGGATTCTATATCCTGAAAAACTAAGTTTCATAAATGAAGGAGAAATGAAGTCTTTCTTAGACAAGCAAATGCTGAGAGAATTTGTCACCCCTAGACTGGCTCAATAAGAAATACTCAAAGAAGTTCTAAATATTGAAACTAAAGGTCAATAAATACCGGTAACAATAAATCTCACAGGTTTTATAGAACACCAACATAATAGAGAAAAAAATTAAAAAAGCAACCAGCATGATGAATCAAATAGTACATTACATATCATTTTTAACTCTGAACATAAGTGGTTTCAATGTTCCACTGAAAATATATAGACTTGCACAGTGGATTAAACACACACACACACACACACACACACACACACACACACACACACACACACAC